ACATAATATCATAAGGAGTGGCAGTAGACCCAACAAAAATTGAAGCAATGCAAAGCTGGTCGAAACCTACAAACGTGAAATTACTACGTGGATTCCTTGGACTAACAGGCTATTACCAAAAATTTGTTAAGGACTATGAGATGATCAGCGCACCCCTCAATTCTCTACTAAAAAAAGATGACTTCCAATGGTCGGACAAAGCCTCTGTTGCCTTCGACAAACTTAAGTAGCCATGATGACGACGTCGGTGCTAGCACTACCAGATTTCAGTCGACCCTTTATCATTGCGGCCGATGCATCTGAAATCGAAATTGGAGCCATTCTCATGCAAGATGGTTGACCACTCGCATACACCAGCAAGACATTATCTCTCTCCCATCAAAATATGTCAATATATGATAAGAAGATGCTCGCCATTGTGCACGCAGTAATGAGGTAGAGACCCTACTTGATCGGTCAGTGATTTCAAATTAAAATTGATCATAGAAGCCTCAAGTACTTTTTGGAGTAAAAGATATCATCCCTTGAGTAGCAAAAATGGGCAACCAAATTTCTTAGATTTGATTATGAAATTATTTATAAAAAGGGGGAAAAAAAACGTTGTTGTAGATGCACTCTTATGACTACCCGAGCAAGCTAAGTTTTCAACCATCTCCCTTCCTATCACCAGCTTCCACAAGGACATTAGGGAAGAATGGAAGAAGGATCCAGAGATCAGTAACATCATAAAAATATTAGAGGATCCAAGTGTAATAGCCCACTACACTTGGGATTCGAGGGATCTACGCTACAAAGGTCGTATTGTGCTTATACCTAACTCCTCTTGCATCAAAATCATCCTGTATGAAATGCACTCCACACCTTCAACAGGGCACTCTGGATTCCTGAGAACCTACAAAAGAGTGAAGCAAAATTTTTATTAGTGATGGATAAAAAAATTTATTACTCAATATGTAGCACAATGTGATGTATGTCAATAGCACAAAGCTAAAACAATAACAAGTCCAAGGAAGCTACAACCACTACCCACACCAGACTCGGTGTGGACTGACATCTCCATGGACTTTATCGAAGGACTGCCACCTTCCAAAGGTAAAAGCACAATTCTCATGGTAGTTGATCGACTTATGAAATATGCTCATTTTTGTGCTGTGTGAAATCCCTACACTACTGCTAGTATTACCTAGATTTTCATAGAAAATATTATTAAACTACATGAGATGCTAAGGTCTATTGTAAGTGATCGTGACAGGATCTTCACCAGTAAATTTTGGACCGAGTTATTTCAGTTACAAGGCATCAAACTCAAGATGAGCACAACGTATCATCCATAAACTAACGGTCAAACAGAGGTAGTAAATAGGTGTTTAGAGATGTACCTTCAGTGTTTCACTAACGACCAGCCAAAGGAGTGGGTGAAACGACTTCCTTAGGCCGAATGGTGGTATAATACTACATATTATTCATCTACAAAATGTGCCTCTTATGAAGCACTGCATGGTTGGCTGCCCCCTGTGATTCTAAAATATGTAATTAGCTCGACCAAGATAGATCAGGTCGACTAAGAATTAATTGATAGGGATAAACTCCTATAGCTGTTAAAGGATAATCTCTCTACCGCTCAAGCTAGAATGAAGCAACAAGCCGACACATGATGAAGCGTAAGAGAATTTTCAGCAGGAGATTGGGTTTATCTTCACCTACAACCATACAAGCAACTCTTCATCAATACTCGAGCCTCCATGAAGCTATCATCATATTTTTATGGGCCCTATCATATTACAGAGCGTATTGGAGCTGTGACATACAAACTTAAATTGCTTGAGGATGCCAAAATTCATCTTATATTCCATGTGTCATGCCTGAAACCCAAGTTGGGAGAACATGAGTCAACCTAGATCCAACTGCCCAATACCACTGAGGATGGAGTTATTCAAAGCCAATCACAAGCTATCCTCGACTGTAGGATCATGATGCATCGCCGATGTCCCTCTACTGAAGTACTAATGCATTGGAATAATTTACCACTTGAAGATGCCACATGAGAATCATATGAGGAGCTGAAGACCTGGTTCTCTGAGTTCATGGAATCCCAACCTCAAGGACAAGGCTAATTTGAAGAGGGTGGGTCTGTTAGGTCTCTAGCTAGGAGAGTCCTAATTGAGAAGGACATTCATGTTAACTTACCTAGCCGACCCCTATTAAAGAGGCGAAGATGCCGGCTAGGGTTAAGAGGTTATTTCTTAGAGAAACATTAGGAGTTGTAAAGGAATATGGGTCTTGAGTATGAGTCCTATTAGGAGTTATTCTTAGAGAAGAATTAGGAGTTGTAAAGAAATAGGAGTCTTGAGTATGAGTCATATTAAGAGTTAGGGTTTAGAAGCCCTATAAATAACTATGTATTTATCTTCTTTTAACAAGTAATAGATGAATCTTTTCTGCAGCCTTTGAGCAGCAATTTGAAGGAAGGAACCTATATAGAGTTCCAATGAGGCCAATTTCTTAAAAAGATTAATCCCAAGCTTAGAATCTGTAAATGTTCTAATAACGATGTACTAAAAGAATGCACGATGCACTAAATAATAACTTGTCAGAAGACTCTAGATAATAACTTGTCAGAAGACTCTTTGACATGCTAGAAAAGAAATTGATTCTTTTATCTAAATTACTAATACTTACTTCATTAGTCCTAATTGAGTTATTAGGCTCATTCACATGTTTAATTATGCCATAATTAAGTTATTTATTGGGTTAAAAATAAGTCTTTATGATACTTGGTTACTTGGACTAATTTTTTAGGGTTGTTTTAGAACCTTACTAATCTTATTAGTGCTATACATGTAGTAGTACACTCAACTTAGATCACAATATCGCCTCACACATCCAATGCACCCAAGTTGTTTTCGTTTTTTTTTTAGGATACTATTTTCAATTTACTCTAAGTTTTAGGTATTTGAGGCCTCTATAAATACCTCACTATGTATCAGATTAGTGAGTTGAGGTAATTGTTCTTGAAAGTTCTTATGCTTATGTATTTGCTAAGTCTAACATATTAATTTATAATATATAATTATATCTAATATTTTAGTAAAAAATATATACAAACATATATAAATAAATAAATAAATAAATATATATATATATATATATATATAATGCAACAATATACTGACCGTTTAGAATATTTCAATAGATGAAATATCTTTTAGGAATTCTATATAATTATGTTTTTTTAATGTAATTCTATACATCATTTTATTGAGGAGATTAAATATCTTTATCTCACAAAAAAATAGTTACAAAATGGTTACCCAACATTTATTTGCACACATAATCCATATTAATATATATGGACATTCTTTAGGCAAAGAGCACACCCGGAGGATCTCCTAATGACATGTTCTACCATTAATATCTCTTGTTGCCTATGGAAACGTGGTAAGTGTGGACTGGGAAATCAAGATAAACAAAAAGGATATAATTTATGATTAAGAACAGCTTTTCAATTAAATTTATCCAATTCAATTAAGTTTATCTTCTTTGTGATGCTTCCATGAATATTGAGGATATTAAAATAATTTTCCAAATTTCACAGCAGCTTAAAGTTGGTAAATCAACTAATTAAATTAAAGTTGTAAGCAAATGGAAACAAGTATAGACGGAAAAGACAAAGAACCACTCCAAAGCTTTCGAAGATTGAGACCTGAAACCATTAACCATGCAAGTAAAAGGCAAGCAAGCCATCGTCCAATTAATAGACCAAACTAACCAAGTCATCAAAAGTGATAATGGCTGATATGGTTGTCTGCCTCCACAGCTTTAGTGCAACAGAGCCAACTTTGCTTAACATCATCGTCGTCACAAGGATTCAATCGAGGATATGACTAACTGATGTTAGGAATGGTGGCTGAGGACTTGGTGACTGACCATTAAAAACGAGAAACTCGAGGGTACTCGTCAAGGTCACTCATGCTTTAAGGTCTAATGAGTAACCATCTTGTATTAAGTATTATTGTCGATAAAGTCTGCTTCGAAACCTCGGATATGTTGACTAAATATCCGCTTAGATTTTTATTGGGTATTGAAACATATGACTCAGTAAATGTTGCTCGAGTATTGAATATATGATGATGTGACACTAGAATGTTCGTATGCCATTTTACTTTTTTTTTTAATATTAATCATAATCAAAATCGACGAATATTTCTTGCTCGCCCGAAACTATCTACCATCAAAGGAACGAAAATTTATGTGCGACAATTAAAGTCCAGCAAGGATAGCGGAACACCTTATGTTTGCGCTCTAACGCGAGTCATCCCAAACGTCAGGTCTCCGCACCCCGCGGCAGACGAGGCGAGGGCAGCAGAAGCACGTGCCCTGCACGCCTCCCCTTGCCCCTCTTCGTCGGGTCCCTCGCGCCTTTGCGACCGTCAAATCACCGCCAAGGATTCGATTCGATCCGTGGGTCCCTCCTCTGGCCCACCGTCTCTTTCTTCCCGCATACCCGCGTCCGGTCCCACTCAACACGGAAGTCGTACGGCACGCCATCTCGGCCCACGCCCCGCCCTACCCCGCTCGGTTTGTTCGTGGGCATACGAACCCACGAAAGGAGGAAATGATGGCGAGCCCCCCCTTCCCCCTCGAGATTCGTGCCTTCGGAGAGGACCGGTCCGTTAATAGTCCAAAGCCCTCATATGGGCTCCCTCGTAATCCGCTCCACCCCCATGTCATCATTTCGTGACATGTATTCCCCTCGGGCGGGGCCTACCGCCCCCCATGTCGTCCCACGTAAAGGCGCATTACATGTGGGTCCCCGAACAAAGGTCAGATTAACATTTTAGCATTTCCGAAGCAAGTATGATTTAACGGAATTATATATATATATATATATATGTTATTAATTTGTTTTAAGGGTATGTTTGTGCACATTCACAACTGACTCGGACGCGTCTCTTTCTCCCTTCTGAAACTAATGGGTCTCTCCTTTTCCTCTCTCTCTCTCTCTCTCTCTCTTTCTGTCTCTCTGCAAGCTTTCAGGGAGGAGGAATTACATGGAAAGTGAGTGATTCTAGAGTTAGCCCACGCCCGTAAACCGGTTAGCTGACTTGTTATCCTCCTCCTCATCCTTTAGATCACCGCCTGTTTCTTTCCCTGCTGCTTCGCCTTGAGCTCGTTGAGGCCGGACGGTGGAGGATAGGGGTTGCGACCATGGTATGACGCGATGGTCCCAACTTGGAATCTCCTCCGCCGACACTGCGAGACCTACGGGGCTTACTTTTGTGGTGGCGACTCTCGTTTCCATGATATCTACGGCTTGTCTCCGCTGAAGCCGAACTGCTCGATGGCAGACAAGCCCTCCTCAGCTCCAGAAGACGAACAACATGGACCAGGCACCGTAGAGGTCGGGGAAGACACCAACAGTTCCAAGGACTGGCTCCGATTAGGCCTCGCTTCTCCTCCCGCCGCTATTGAATCTAGGCCGGAGCGGCTGAAGGTGGAGATCGAGTTATTATGCGGTCAGCCTTCCTCGTCGTCGGTGTTGCCTACGTCAGCGACGTACCCTGTCACAAGCCGGGGTATCAGCGGCTTTCGAGCTCCCGTGATGGGCACGACGGTAATACCTTGGGCGAGTTACCGGCAGGAGATGCCACGGGGACCTTGGAGTGCTAATCTCCCCATGGGGGCTACATCGTCGATGATACCACCACCTGTGATGCCGGAGTTCGTTGCCCGTCAGTTCATGTACCCGATCTCGAGCCCGGCGTTACCGTCGGCGCCAGAGGTTTGGCCAGATATGAGGGTGGTCAGCCCACCACGCAGACCGCAGTCGGGCGTTTGGTTCATGCTTCGGGCTGCGCAAAACCAGTAAGTTACGAGGACCGAATAGGTTACATAACACTTAGTAGTTCAATCCTTCCTATTTATTGCGTTCTGTCGTTCCATAAACAAAGGAGATGGAGATCGAAGAACCCGTGTTGTTTGTTTGTTCTTTTGGTATTGTCTTCAACGATTGACCTCACGAAGTCCTCTTTTTGTTTTTATTTCCGCGTTACTGCAGAGGGCGGGAGCCTTTTTTGCCACAGATACCCAAGAGCTACTTGAGAATTAAGTACTTCCACTCTCTCATCATGATTCCCTATTTGAGCTGCTTTTTTGGGGTTTAGATGCTATATCTGCAGGACATCATAGCTTTACTCAGCGATCATGTTCTTCACTGCTTGTAGGGATGGAAGGATGACAGTCAGGTTGCTGATGAAGTACCTGGCGACCAGGCTGGGTTTGGAGGATGAGTCGGAGGTACTTGGAACTCTATCCCATTGCTTTCTTTGTTGCTTCTTGTGTTGGATACAGTAATGCTTGACCCAATGCCATTACTCCAAGCAAAGATTGCTAGATCCACAAAGGAGGGAAAGACACTGTTTTCCTGGCATTTCTGTGCCTTAGAAATGTGGGAATCCAAATTTTTTACTAGTGTCTAAGTGGTACATCATTGCCCATCACCATGGATAAGGCTCCCTTGCGATTTATCTTGGCACTGATAGGGTTGGGTAGTGATCGGGGAAGATAGGTTGCTATTCAGCACTAGAACCCATCATGGCAAAAACCCCTTTCTACAAGTAGGTTTGACATGCCAAAAATAGGACAGACATAGCTAAGAAAAGGCAGTTCTTTATAGGAGTAAGAGCTTCATAGAAGACTTTGCATGCCATGCTTCTGCTATGCATACAAGGAGAGGCAATGGCTTCTTTGTATCTTATTCCACAAAATGGTAAAAGTTTTTGGGGACAGTATTGTCCTTTCCCGAGTTGGTCGCCTGTGACAACCCCAAAATACCACCTTCCACCGATCCTTACATGACACCGACCTGCAGTTGTATGGAAAGCACTTGTCCATCGATTATGCGAATCTCTTCTCATAATGTTGTAAGATCTTGCTTGTAGACTTGGTGGATATATATATGGTCATTAGTATGTCCCGGATCATGTGATAGGACTCCAACTACTGTTTTCCTTCTCTAATACATTAAGATCTTGTTCCAAGATTTAAGGTTACATCAAACACAAGACAAAAAAGGTTCTATATAGTTCAAGCAGACCAAATTTACCAATGCATCATCTATCACAGGCTTAAGAGATGCAGATCATCTTTTACTTAATCTTGTGAAGTATCATGTTAAGCTGGAGCTTGTCTTTTATTTCATCTTCCAGGATTATGAAATTTTTAGCTAAGGATCCAGTTCAGTTTAGTTTGGCTTCTTTGACTAACCATTGAATGGTAGTTCATGTTGGACCAATATCATGATCCTGCAAGGTCTTGCTTGAATTGCCAACTTCTTGAGCTCCCTACACTCTTTGTGATTGCCGTAATACAAAATGCATTTTCTTGGATAGAACAAAGAAATTTACTGCATCAGTATCTTGTGCATTTGTATCATGATCAGATGCATCAAATAGCCGCTATATTTTTAACGTTGGCTTACAACCGGAAAATACAAAATACCATCAGATGCTTTAATCTCAATTTATAGGAATACAAAATACCATCGACTTGTTGATATGCATTAGAATCTCAACTAATCAAAAATTTATAGTTCTAATCAGTAGAAGGATAAGGCTATGGCATCGGCCTTCCGTAATCAATGACATTGCTTCTGGTAGGTGCTCATGATTTTGTTCCATTGTGTATTTGATAGAAATTATGAAGCATTTGACTTTGATCCTATTCTCCTTTTCACTGCCATTTTATACTTCAATTTTCTCAGATTATTAAATTAATCTTCTTTATGCGACATTGTTTGAATTGAATCCTTAACCTTTTGCTGTCTTTCATCAAATAATGGAGTCCTAACAACAGAACAAAATTAAGAACAACACGTTTGATTGTTATGTGAAGTGTGGTCACCAAAACACCTGTAAGCAATGAAAGATCAAATTTATGATCTAAATTTCTTTGTGTTGATGGAGATGTCACCCTTCAGAATTGTTGTCAAAAAGTATAGATTTATAAAACTAATTCTCGAAATATTGCTAATTTTCTAACATCAGACTGGAACCGATATCTGTACTGCACCATCACCATTTACGACAATGTTTGAAAAAATTAGCATTGATAATTCTTCTTGATTCCATCTCAGTCTTTAAGATGCTTTGACACTAATGTGATCGCTATTTTCCCTTTTCGAAATAGAGATTTGAGGCTAATTTTATTTAAACATAAATGCATTTAAATGCGCAAGGAGTAGAGATCAAATCCAAGTTGAAGTTAGCTAAAAGTATGTTTCTTATTGTGGTTGGCCTTGTGTCTTTTGCATTCAATCAATAATCTGTTACACTTGAGAGAAATTTGCACTGGTAGATAACTATAATCCAGAATCTATGTATTGTTTGTTTCATGTGGACTTAATTGTGTAATGCAAATCAAATGCATTTGTTCCAGTCAGAAAATATGTAGGCTACCTTATTATGAACTCTGACATGAAGCTTATTATAGTGTTGTTTAATATCATATTCTCATTGTTTGGCTTACTGCATCCTCACCTACATATATCAGTAGTTACTTAATTGATCATTTCCATGAAAATATTTTGTTCATCAAGTCAACTTTGAGCTATCAATTCATCAAAATTAGCTGCACATTAAGTTAGCTATAAGTAAAATGGAAGTTAATGAAGTAATACATATGATTCTCATTGTTAATATTGCAGCTATCTTGCATTATGCTCTATTGGATGGCACGCATGTAGACCATATCTTCATCTATGATGCCATTTGACTCATCGTTCTCCTACCTGAACCCATTATGCTGCCATGCCTTTTGTCGTCATGGTTTCGCTCAGCTGTGCTCACCCTAACAGCTCAGAACTTTTGTTAAGAGGTTCCATCAAGGATGTAAGTGGTGCACTTAGTGAGAACATGTATTAGAGACCCCATGGTAAAGATTTGATAGCTACATACAGAATCATTCCAAGTTGGCGAAGGCGAAAGCATGAAAACATAGAGGGAGAAAGCATGGTTTCCACCAATCATGCTTTCCTTTGTGTCACCAACCGTCCATGAGGGGAATGCATGGGGAAATTTCTTCTTGTTAGGATATCTTATTTCTCGTTGCTTCAACGTTGAGCATTCTCATAGAGAGAGAATGCTGACTTGTTTTGGCTTCTAAGGAAAGAGGTGGTGTGGGGTTCGTATACATATAAGACGTAACGTACGTCAGGAGACGTGCATGCGATTTCAGCATGATGTATGTCGCACGTAGGCAGGCACAGAGAGAGAGAGAGAGAGAGAGAGAGAGAGAGAGAGAGTAGTTAGTAAGTACACTAGTATAATAAG